ATCATTTACCGAATTCTTAGACAACTTGTCTCTCAGACCTATCAGTAAAGTAATGATAGTACCCAACATAACTACCGTATCGGTGTTGCAGGTAACACATACCCACCTACGATCAGACTTGCTGAGTCTGCTATAGGCTGCTGCTGTTAGATCTGTACATGCCTCGTGGAACCAACCTTTGCAGCTGTCACATTGCATGCCAGATGTAACGGCAAAACGGCAACCAGGCCTTTTGCATGAATTTTTCATGGCCAGTGATTTAGACTGTCTTAAAAATACAAGCAGTAAATTTAGGACCGTTAAAAAAACACACAGTAAACAAAAACTGGCAAAAGTGTATAAAAACAGTTAACGATAAGCTAAAGCTAGCCTTTACGTGAAAACTATTAAAAAAACTGATAGTGAGCTGAGGCAAAACCACAGTTAACTATTAATTTGAGTGAAACACAAAAAAAGAAGTAATCTACCGAACGTATAGCTCAGAATAGATTCTTTAGATTGGAAATGGTACTTTTGTTGCGTAAGAACACAGCAAAAGTTTGAGAAATGTAAATCACGTTAGGACTAAACTTCCCGTTCGAAAGTGCTGGAATTCGCTGCCGACTGAGCTAGTCCAAGCGACCTCCCGGGAGTCCTTTAAGAGGAAACTTGACTTATTCTTAAGGACTAAGGATAACATATTATTATGATTTACCAAATTCTTCTTTTTCCTCTATTATCGTTCATATACCTAGGTTCTCACCTGGAGGTATTGGTGATCCACTGCTACCAGACACGGAAGCCCGTTAAGCGAAAGCTTCTTCTATTCCATCCTCAACCATTTGAACCATTTGAACCATTTGAATAACGCTTAACTTTTGGTGTTTTTGATAATTTTTCATATATTTCTTATCACCTTGCTATTTATTGTAATTTAGATTGAATATTTTGGTATCAATTGTTGGTTGAATAACCGGGTGATAATATTCGTTTAGATAAATTTGTACATTTGTATATATGATGAATTAGAACCGTGTCAACCATAATATATTGTTTTGATTTAAATCGGGACACGAGTGTCTAAAACTATCCAACGGTTATTCGGCCACATCCAGACCCATTGGAATTAAGGTTTGGATTTTACAGTTCTAAACGAATACTAGTTGCTTGCTTGGAAGAACTTACAGTTCTAAACAAATATTAATCGGCTAGCAGCTTGGTTCGAGTTCGCAGTTCTGAACAAATAGTTCTTAGTCGGTTCTTGGCTATCGTGTTGTGCTTTTCAATCTTGGTTCCCTGAAATTTGGTCGTTTCGTTCGGGATGACAAAACCTCGTCAAAAGAAGATTATTTCAAAGCTCGATGGTGCTGATGGACCCAAGTTAAGCGACGAATCTCTTTGTACAAAGCAAGTGCTTTCTGATGTCTTTATGTCCCATGGTTCTGATACAGTTAGGGCTAATTATAACGATAGTGATTCTAGCTGTGATTTAATTACAGATGATCTAGTAAATTTTAGTTTAAATAAAAAGCGAGTGTCTGAGATGTCAAGGCACAATGTATTGCCTAAACTCCCTTTAGTCGGTCTAGAATTACCTAAGGTTGAACTAAGTTATTTTGACGGACAGCCAAGACAGTATTGGAGGTTTATAAGAGAATATGAAACCTATATTGCATCGAGGGTCAGTGATGATATTCAACGTCTACTATACTTGCTACATTACTGTAAGGGCAAAGCAAAGGCAGCAATTGAAAGTTGTGTGGTAATGGATGCGGCAGCGGGTTATAAAAGGGCCAGGGAGATCTTGAAGCGATTGTTCGGACAGACTCATGTAATTGCCCTTGAGACTTTGGAAGACTTGTTCAACTGTGTAAACTTTGATTATAATAATGCAGAACAGCTGTCAACCCTAGCTATAAAAATGGAAAATTGCGCTGTAATTCTGGAACAGATGAATTATACTGCAGATTTGAATTCTCTGGCCACTTTGTAGAGATTGGTGAAACTATTGCCTCAGCCCATGCAAGTGCAGTGGGCAGAAGTAGTAGATAAGTTGACTGAGGATGATAGAAAACCAACCTTTGCCGAGCTTACCAAGTTTGTAGCAGCCCGCGCAAGAGTGGCCACAAGCAGATTTGGACGGTTAGCAGAGCATCCAAAAAGGGGATGTAGCACCAGGGTTAATTGTCATGTGTTATCAGAGCACTGTAATACTTTCACTGTGAGTACTAAGTGTGGTATATGTTCTGGCAAACACCCCGTCGATAAATGCACACGTTTTTTAGCGCTTAAAGTGGAAAATCGATGGTCACAAGTTAAAAGCAAGGGTATTTACTTCTCGTGTCTTAGACAAGGTCATAAGGCTATCGAATGTAGATTGAGCAAGCGCTGCACCGTCAACAAGTGTACGAAGAAACACCACCCACTATTGCACAATGATCAGACAGTCAGCGGCTCGGAGGGAAATTCCACTGGATTGGATTAAAGCATGTTCCATGCACGATTGCGTTGGTGCACGCTGATTGGCTTATTCTTACTCAATCATCGCTAGTCGATGCTTTGAGAAGACTCTAGAATCTTCTCATGTGAAAACTATAAATACACTAACGTATTTCTTATTGTGCTTCCTACTTCATCGACCCCTTGTTATTTGGAATATAATTTCTTTCCTGTTCAACCGTGTTCTGATCTGGGGACTTGTCGAGTGAATCTGTGTCCAAGAATACTGAGCAACAGGAATAGCCTGGTCGTTATACGAAAAATTATAACATGGAGTAAACCTATGGTTTTGGATTCGGGATTGTATCAGATTATAGACTCACAAGATCAAATATTTATAGACTGAAAAATATACATCTGGCTTTTATTTTCTGTAGTCTTCATCTCGTCTTAAGATGATGTCAAACTGTCTATGTTGAAATGTAATCTGCTTTATCAATCTCACAAAACTCCCATTCTAAAGTAAATGTTATAGCATTCGAAGCCTACGGCGAATCTTGACAAGCTAGTCCCCCCAAAAGTATTAACACTGGTTTTTCTAACGACTATTAAGACCACGTCTGATATTTTTCGAGAAAACTGGTTTGTTAAGTCTGAAAAAACTAATCGATACCACGTACTATATTGTCAGACGGATCGGTAACTTATTTCACGAATTTACACAACAATCTAAACCTTAACGCTCATTGGTGCTCGCGTTCCTTGTAACCCCGTAACCAATCAGAAAACGACGACCGAAAGCAGACTAAGTCTTTTGTCCTCGATTCGATCATAAAATAATATCTTGAAAATGACTGACCACACAACACGCCAAACAGCAAATTACACTTTAAGCGCAATCATACCGTAAGTAATAGAGGGCTGCAAGAAGCAGTACATAACTGATCAGCAGTAATTACGGAGAAGTAAGGGATATTAGTGACAATAAGGGCGACGTAGAAATGCGGCAATAAAGTTATCTATTAATTATGTAATAACGATATAAATAATAATAGTTCGGAAAATAAGGCTGTAGGTCTCAACTCCAATATTCGTTCTGTAATAATGTCTTGTCTGAGTAAAAATGGCTTGGTTTATACTTTTGGTGACTTTGTTTTCCCTGTGCTATTTCCGTTTAGGTTATCCAATTGTTGATGATCCTCTATACAATTCAACTGATTGGGGTGAGTTGAAAGGGAAAGGCGCTAATTATGGAATAACTATAGAAGAAGTTATCCAAAGACTGAGTAATTCTCGTAACAGGGAAAAGTATATAATCCAAGATGTAGGACTCTTCTTAAAATTCATATTGTGCTAAAGTTTTTCGTGATATCATTACTACTTATTACTCTGAATTATGATTTCTCTATCATCTTCGAAACCTTTTTCTTCGCAAACAAATCCCCATAATTAATTCATCAATGGTTGCACTTAAAATTCTTGTAACATGTTAATATTTACATACTACTTAGAATAGCAGTAATCGGAACCAGTTACTTCACCCTGATTCCAAATCAAAGGTGCACATGGGCTCTAGTATTCTGATGAAACAAATGGCGTCGGTCACCGGCTACCATAGAACCGCATCTCCTTACGATGCTTCACTGCCTTGTGGATCAGACCTTCAGGTCAAAGGCTCTGGGTGTGTCCCCCCAAAAAAACCACCTGCTTCAGTTTGGGCACCTGAGCAGTATCACAGCCCTCACACAAATCTCAAATGATTTGTGGAACGCATATGCATTTGGTACCCGTTTGTACCAATATTTATGTGTTTAAATAAATAAAAAAACTTCACAACTTCGTTAATTTGACTCAATGTAGCTTTCTTCACTCTTCAAAACAAACATTTCATCTAATTAATTCAAAGTATATATGTTTCAGCGTCCAGGTAAGTAGGTACTCAGCGCGGAACTTTCAGACTCTGGATAATTAAAATGTTTTCAGTAACCTTCAAAGGTTGCATTCCACATCTTTTCCGAATTCAATTCAAATTCCTCTTGAAGTTGTGAGCTGGTTTTTTCTCTGCTACAGTAGGTCATTTCTATTAGTATTCGGCCGACGGATCTGGAGTATCTTGCGTAGACAATTGTTTGTAAATACCTGTACTTCTTTGATGATAGTTATGCTTAGTACTATGACACCGAATCCAACTATGTCCAATCAGAATACAAAGACTGGTTAGGAAGGTTTAGTTGATCTCTAAAACGAATCGAAACTATTCTTGAATACATTCATTTACTTACTGATTTTACTCACACTTAATGATTGGTTTGTACTTATCACATGGGAGAAATACACAGAATTACGGCAAAAACCTAATCTACAAGTTTCACACTGAATTGACGCAAAGAATATCATATCTGTTATGTATATGGATGCTTGTATGTGATCAAGGATCTTTATCTCAACAACTTGAATTTAGGAAGAAAAATGTTTCATCAGTTCCACGTGTATATTTAGTCGGTTTTACATATCCTGTCGAGTTAATTGATACAATAGGTTTCTGCTTGTAGTAGTACACTATGAACTCATCGCATACACATGCATTTTATATGTGATCAGTCAGTTGGTATCAATAAACCATACATGAACTTTGTAACTGGAAGCTGAGTACATAAACATGTACTTTGTAAATTGATTATGTTACTTGTTTGCTTCCTGCTTCGGTTTGGGCAACCGGGCAGTATCCCAGCCCTCACAAAAATCGAATGATTTATATGGAGCATATTTATTTGGTGTCTCCTTGTAATAATGTTTATGCGTTTAAATAAATAGATGTTTCTCCTCATTTATCTTAGTCTGAAACTAAACGGCTCAGTAAAAATCACTAGAATATGTTATAATATAGCTCATTTATCAAATACAGATTTGTTCACTTGACTTTTAGTCAAAACTTATGTGTAAGCGGTAGTAGTAATGCTATCCGACTACCCAAATTCAAATAGACAGAAAGGGACCCTGTCACCCAGTGGTTGAAATTCAAACTCCTTAATCACTAAGCCACTGATCCACCAAAGTGCGCAACTAACTACTTACACTTGAGATTGATGTTATCAATTATCACTACTTTATCGTATTTATATTGGATCATATCACTCCTAAAGGTGATTTATCTTTGATGTGTTTTTTTCGGACCAATGAAAAGTTGATAAGCTCTCTTGATCCAAATGTATTAGAACGTCTGCAATTGTGTAAAGATCCCTTATGCCCTGATTGTAAATTGACTTTCAAAGATCCAGAAATGAATAACCTAATACTGCGACTACATGCTTATCGTTATAGTGGATCTGATTGGTGCTATTCTGCACCTTTACCCAGTTGGGTTATCAATGAGAATGTACCAGACTTGCATGATGCGATAGAAGAGGCAATTAAACAGTTATAAATATTTGTGTGTATATCAGTTTTTCTCTCCATATGTTGTTCAGTTTCATTTCGTTTTGTATTTGATGGGAGAAGTGGATAGTTATATATTTACTTAATACACTTTCAATTACCGATTGTGCTTAGTGGTAGTGTTTTCTGTGTTTGTCTTTAATGTATATTTTCATTTCTGTTTTCGTGTATATGTATATAGAGCTATTCAAACTGATTCACTCCTATTCTTTTTGTCAGTAAATTTACAAATGCCCTGGTACGGCCGAGAGTGGGGAGAGTCCGGTCTCCCTCTCGAAATACTCTCACATGGCCACGCGTATATAGCCTCTGCCAGGGAAGTCCTACTCACTGCCTTCTCGTGGCGGGGGTGTTGTTTACGAAATTGAGGGGACGAAAAGCGAATGTCCGGCGCTTTAACCGGGTTGGTGGACACGGAAAGTTCACCTATGGGAGTTGGAAAACCCTTATTCCAAACCATTGGTGGTGGCCACAAGCAGATTTGGACGGTTAGCAGAGCATCCAGAAAGGGGATGTAGCACCAGGGTTAATTGTCATGTGTTATCAGAGCACTGTAATACTTTCACTGTGAGTACTAAGTGTGGTATATGTTCTGGCAAACACCCCGTCGATAAATGCACACGTTTTTTAGCGCTTAAAGTGGAAAATCGATGGTCACAAGTTAAAAGCAAGGGTATTTACTTCTCGTGTCTTAGACAAGGTCATAAGGCTATCGAATGTAGATTGAGCAAGCGCTGCACCGTCAACAAGTGTACGAAGAAACACCACCCACTATTGCACAATGATCAGACAGTCAGCGGCTCGGAGGGAAATTCCACTGCGGAAAATTATTGTGGATTCACTAAATCCTTAGGTGGTCAGGTGTGTTTGGGAACGATTCCCGTGCGGTTGAAATCAGGTAATACTGAAATTGTAGGCTATGTCCTTTTAGATAATGGCTCTGATGTGACATTGATTAGATCAGATTGTTTGAAGTTGCTCGGGTTAAAGGAGGATCAGACGTCAGCGGTAGTACAAACCGTAGGCGGTAACAAAACTGCAGGGGTTACAAGGGCGTCTTTTGGAGTATACTCTTTGGATGAATCCGAGCATGTTAACATTGAAGGAGCTCTGGTTGTGTCGCAGATACCAGGACATAAGCCGACAAAGTCATTAATGAACAGCTTGGGCAAGTGGCCGCATTTAGACGATGTGCCCTTAGATATTCTAGATTCAGGCGAAGTTGTATTGTTGATTGGTTGTGACGTTCCAGAAACCCATTGGGTACTTGATCAACGGTTGGGAGGAAGAAAAACTCCGTACGCCGTGAAAACGATGCTAGGGTGGATAGTTTTTGGACCCGCATCTGATCTGGACCGTAGAAAAAGATTCGGTTATGATACAACTGGGGTACAAAATATAAGAGTCCAAGTACGCAAGCCTGATGATATGAGTTATAAAAAACCCAACAACACGACCGAGCTAGATTTTAAGCATATAAGAAGGGAAATAAACGACACGAACATGAATGCTATTAATCGAGGTAGAAAGAGTCGTGAATTACAAAGAGAGGCAGAAATTCTTGAGAAGGAACTTAGTAAGTATGAACAGGGTCATGATGCTCACGAGACAATCTTGAGGGACTACCACATTTTAGAGAAACGGCTCCAGGAAGCGAGACGAGACCTTGATGCCGAAAAACTACTTAGAACTGATTTGGAAAACAAATTTCTTATTCTTCAAGAGCGTTTGTGTGTGAAGTCTCGATTGTTAGATGAATGTGAAGGGTTAGCTAACCACGGTTTTGAAATTAAAAATTCGGTCGACGGATGGAAGCAGGGTGGATATGAAGGCCAATTGATTGAGAGGTTTAAATCTATTCGAGACCAAAGTGCGCTTCAATCAGAAGAATATAAAATACCTAGAGGAACCTTTGAGAACAAACGTAAGCGATTAAGGTCGTCAGCTAACGTCGATGGTGAACATGACAGTGACCGGGGTTCTTAGCTGGTTGTGGCTTGCGAACGCGTTAATGGGGTTTCTCTACGAAGAGTAAAATACTTCGCAACTTCTCTAGCAAGGAAAAGAGATAAAGTAATCGTGGTTTCAGATACTTCCACCCGCGGTAAGTGGCCTCTTGGAGTAGTGGAGAGTTGTGAAACAGACGAAGATGGAAAGGTTAGGACAGTGACAGTTCGTACTGATAACGGGTCTGTTAGAAAGGATATACGTAAGGTATGTCTCCTAGAAGGTTCCAATTAGTTAATAGTTAAACAATGTAGACAGGACGAGTAGGCGTACTGTTGTAAGTCCTACCCGTTCTTTTAGTGTAGAATAGGCGATTAGGTGAACCATGACGAAAAGGGCATCAGAATAGCTTGTGCAGTATGGAGGGATTTTGAAGGCCGGTGTTGGATCCATTTTGCAAGTGAAAATCCCTCCATGCATACATTTGTGATTTCTTCCTTACGTTTTCTTTATTTGTATATGTTGTTAACATTTTTGATGCTAATTAAGACTGTGACGTTTAATTTTCTTGGTTTTATTATCGTTTTTATGGAGTCTCTATGTTCCTTACTGAACTGTATCCAGTTTATTTTAATTGCTATTATTCTGGCGTCTGCCATATTGACTGCTCGCTATTTGATTGTGCGGTTTGATTTTGACTGGGATCGTGCATCTTTGGTTGTAATTTGGAGCACTTTCCCAGATATTGAAACGCTTTGTGTTATAAAGCAGCTGATCAGACGGAATTTTACTTGATCTATCCAAGAAGGATAGAATAACGCTTACCTTTTGGTGTTTTTGATAATTTTTCATATATTTCTTATCACCTTGCTATTTATTGTAATTTAGATTGAATATTTTGGTATCAATTGTTGGTTGAATAACCGGGTGATAATATTCGTTTAGATAAATTTGTGCATTTGTATATATGATGAATTAGAACCGTGTCAACCATAATATATTGTTTTGATTTAAATCGGGACACGAGTGTCTAAAACTATCCAACGGTTATTCGGCCACATCCAGACCTATTGGAATTTAGGTTTGGATTTTACACTGGTCTACTGAGTGTCAAAAGAGTTTTGACAAAGTAAAGTCATTATTAATATTCGACCCACTTCTTACGTATTTTGATCCCTCACTGGAAATTGTTGTTGCCGCAGATGCTTCTGATTATGGTGTCGGCGCTGTTATATCCCACAGGTTTCAAGATGGCACAGAGAATGCTATAGCCCATGCCTCCAGAACGTTGACTTCGGCAGAACGCAAGTACAGCCAAATTGAGAAAGAAGGATTGGCACTAGTTTTTGCAGTTAAGAAGTTTCACAAAATGCTGCATGGTAGAAAATTTACCTTATTTACTGATCATAAACCCCTATTATCGATTTTTGGATCTAAGAAATGTATACCAGTTTATACTGCAAATCGCCTCCAACGATGGGCTACAATGTTGTTGGGTTATGATTTCACTATCAAATACAAATCTACCTCTGATTTTGGTCATGCTGATGCACTATCGCGCTTAATAAGCAATCATAAGCTCGAAAATGAAGATACTGTCATTGCTTCTATATCAGTGGAAGAAGATGTAAGCAGCATGTTGCTCAATTCAACGCGAATTCTTCCAGTGACAGCTGCTCGAATCGCTGATCACACTCTCCGTGATCCTATCTTAAGGCAACTAGCTACATTTATCTGGCGTGGTTGGCCCCCACGTATGACATCTCATGAACTAAAACAGTATTATCAACGACTCCAATCTTTATCCATCGTAAATGACTGTTTTATGTTCGCTGATCGCGTAGTAATTCCAAGTAACCTACGCTCACTCGTTCTGAAACAACTGCACACAGCTCACCCAGGTACTGGAAGAATGGAAGCTATTACTCGAAGTTATGTATACTGGCCTAACATTGATAAACACATCGAAGATTTAGTGCGTGCGTGCAGAAAATGTGCTGCAGCCTCGAAATGTCCACGGAAAGCTGAACTCAATTCTTGGTCATCCCCGAAAGAACCTTGGTCGCGTATACACATTGATTTTGCTGGCCCATTTCAAGGTACATATTTCCTCATTTGTGTCGACGCCTACTCAAAGTGGCCAGAGATTCTACCCATGAAGCAAATCACGTCGCAAGAGACTATTATCGAGTTACGGCAGTTATTCTCTCGTTTCGGAGTCCCAGATATTCCTGGACAGTTTTGACATAGGAAGTCCAGCAACTAAGAAAACTGTATTACTGGAACAACATCCTATCAGGAGATCACTACGGAAACGCAGAAGACCTGATATACTGCAGGTGGACCCGAAGAAAAGAGCATATACTTCTGAGGGGAGATATCAGTAATGATATCTTAGCTACTGTTTGTAATTAGTGTCTAACCGCTTTTCTTTTTTTTGTTTATTCCAGTTAACCCAATTGGTCACGACCACAAAACCATTCAGTTTCCCTTATGCACTCATTCAATGGCAGTGATAACATAACTTTTTTTCGTCAAGGGGGAAGACGATGTGAACCGCAAAACAAGAAGCCTTAACAAATTACGGAAGCTATTTTTGGGGACGTTAATTCATTTAATTCAAAGCTTGTAAAACTGTAACATTTACTTTTGTCCCTGGCCTATTCTACAGATCATAAGCTTTCGTTTGATGTATGACTCATTGCCATAGCACTTTCTGTTCTAAAGCTATTGTCATTTAGACGTAATCTTTTGTACCCTATTTTCTACTGTAATCCCCCAATTTTGGACATAATTGCATTTTTCTAATTATTGTACGTTGTGGTCAGCTTAGTCATCTATTTATTCATGTAACTTTTCACCCTTATCTGAATTGGGAATTCGAATGCTAGAGCGGGGTTGGAATAAAGTGATTAGTGTTCCAGCTGTCTTTGTCTTCTCCCTCTCTCGCGTGCTTGCCGACCAATCAGGGATAGAATAGTTTTCGTTTCTCTACCCCCACTTCGAACTCACGCATATTAGCCTCAAGGTTAAGCCAGTCAGCCCATCGTGTCAAGGTCTTAATCTACATTATACTCGGCACTAAGTGGGTAGACAGATTCAAGGACGTAACAATAGCTTTTTGGCGTTTCTTATCAAATTGGTTGAGGATGCAGTCCACTAAGAAGAAATTACTCCTTTTAAAACTACAATTCAATAAGAATGTGGTTAGTCACATGTCAACTTCTAAGTTTTCCAATTTCCATGCAGCTTCTTTTGCGAATTAGGCTTCATTGAGGACATCATATGGCATCAAGAACAAAAGAATGGGCGTACACTTTAATTTATGTCTTAAAATTTGTCAACCAGGTCAATCGGTTGGTCCAAGTTATCACATTTTATCGACGGTAGCTGTGCGTTAGAAAAATCCTAATCATATAGACTGATCTCACGCTTATTGCTTCTCTTTCTCATCAAAGTTCAACCTTAACTGTTACATGTAACAGCAACCAAAGATATTCGAAATGAGAGTCATAGTGCACGTGTTCAAAGACGTTCAGTGTAAAACCGGCTCCTTACAAGAGCATAATTGAAAGAAACCAACAAACGAACTTATTAATTTTTCACTATTTTGTCTTCTATCTCCTCGTTGAGATATATTTCACACAATTTGTGTATTCGCTTCCATTACTTACTGACTTTCATGACTCCATAAGAATGACTTTCGGGTATATATTTGAAACAGTTCCTTAAATGTCAAGTAGATATTATCTAAACACACCATTCTTACTGTTATAAAGTGTTGTGATCTTTCAGAAGATTACTTTCTTACTTACTTACGCCTGTTACTTCAAATGGAGCATAGGCCGCCGACAAGCATTGTCCAACCCACTGTGTCCTCGGCCTTCCTTTCTAGTTCTACTCAACCTTTGTTCATTCTTCTCATGTCTGTCTCTATTTCTCGGCGTAATGTGTTCTTTGGTCTTCCTCTTCATCTTTGACCTTCAGGATTCCATGTGAGGGCTTGTCTTGTGACGCGATTGGGTGATTTGCTCAAAGTGTGCCAAATCCACTACCAGCGCTTCTTCCTGATTTCTTCCTCCGCTGGATGGAATCTGATTTGCTGTCTCCCACAGTAACACGTTTTCTCCTCAATGAACAAAACCTGGTGTTACCATACAGAAGAAAATCTATGTATCTGACACCGTGACCTGTTAAAATTTACAAGACTCTTACTCCAATTAATTTTAAATTCTTCGATGGTCAAATGTCCTAATAATGAGCTTATTAATCAGCTCACAGGTTATCAAGTAAAGTGTGGCAGTCCAGTATGACAACTCTCATCAAAAATTGTTGAGTAGAACAAAGAGAACATTTTTATTGAAAGACCAAACAATTTGAAAGAATTAGTTGAGATTCAGAGTTCGTGAACAATATTTGGCTGGTAGTTTCTCATGAATTGGAATAAATAAATAAAAGTACGGACAGCAGTAAAGCAAACTGTCCTGAGTCTAGAAATGCACGAGACTAGTAATGTGGGAAACAGACAAGGAGGGGAGTTTCTCCGAATTCGCACACAGGCACACCAAAAGTGATTTAAATGTACATCTGCACATTAAGTTTGAAGGTCATAACTGCAGAGGAAAGTTTACGTGATACACAGTCAACAAATGTTGATCGACAAGATTGCCAGGAGAACCAAACTCGACTAACAAATAAAATATACCGTACAAATATATTTCAGTGCCTTTAAATATCTCAACCAGCAATGGAGTCTCATGACAAGTCGTAAGTCAGTAATGACTGATAAGTATTGGTAAGTAGTAACGAAGAAGGAGGAATCGAAGGAAACAGAAATCAAAGTGAATAGAATAATCAGAATTGTTACTGAATGCTTACTAGTTTGCTACAACCACGATTGATACCAATTCTAAGACCTTTATTCTTTCTTTGAAACAGGAAAATTTACTTTTCATAATGCAATTAAATCTTGTGTGACAACCACCACAATCGCTCACATTGGTTTCTTGGTATGTTTAAGAAATAAGAATAAAGTATCTATGCTAATTAGAGAGTGATATACACAACATATTATTACAATCTTCTAAGATAACTACTAAATTCCTTTCTAATTTGACACAGTGCCAATTAGGATCCTTCGTATTTAGAAAATATACAAAGTTTCTTAATGTAGCACGCTGAAATATCTCTAAAAATGGATTAAACGTGTGATACTATACAATTTGTATTGTGTTTGCGGCACTGTGACCTCATAAATCTCTTACCATTCTCATTACTTTCATTTATATCTGATGTAGTTATTACTATTGGATGTAATATTGTTTTTATGTTGAATTTGTATATAAGCAGCTTATATCGGTAGACTTAATCAAGACACTTCCTGCTACTAGTGAAATATGCGACTTTCAGAATTATCCAGAAGACAGAAAATCTTATTACTTCTTCTTGTAATTGGTGTAGCTTGTACAGCGATTGTTGGAATTGCACTGCTGGTACATTTCTCAAAAAGAAATTCTCATGGTATGTTTATACATATTTGAATTGTAGTTATATATCTATGTTGTTGCTTAAGTTAGTTATTTGATGGCATGACATGTTACATAAGATAAATTTCGACTGTGTTGTTACTCGTTGGTTTATTGAGAGGACATGTGATTCATCTTAATGCACGTTTCTTGTCAATTCGAACACCTAGCTAACATAAATATTTGAACCATGTCAAACTACCAGACAACTGATTTCTTGGTTATATTGTCACATTTCATTACGAATTACCATGAAATGTGATTGTGAATTTATTTCTTGCTTCACATGGTACATGAAATTATAAGCAATCAGTGCTTACACGTACAGAAAAATTTAAGTTTTAGAACACTAAGATTCTCCGTTTTGATTAACTTAGCAGAAATCAAATAAGACAAGCGCCTCTTCATGTCCACAACACGTGTCTGTTTGTTAGAAGATGCTTTCACGTGTAATGATGGTTGTCAGTAGGGAGAGAACGCTGACTTAGTAATTGCTACGGATTATGTAGAACCTACTGACAACAAGTACACTGTGATGTTCCACTGAATATCAGGTTGATTGAATTGAAGGAAATCGTTATATTCGGGTCGCCCCATACTCGTACTTGAAAAGCGAGCAGCCATCAGGCGAATTCAGAACATCTAATCTGGTACACGTGAGAATATATCAACTTTAAAGCACGACACTCATGGATGATAATACTTCCATCACATGTATTGACTGTATACATATTTTGAACAAGAATTAAAGCAGAATTGCAAGGGACAGAATGTTTAAATACGATCCACTAGGATTCATCAAATGTATAAGAATGAGATTGAAGGAAGTTGTTTGGCATATCATTGTCACTGAGAATGTAATTCACATTGAAATGAGTGCATGAGGTTGCATGTGTTTGTTTTCATAACACAGTGTATTCATGGTTTGGTAAATATCCGTTATCATAGCAAAATATCTCCCGAATTGCAATTTCACAGTCACTAACAATACGTCAACCATAATCAATGAAAAATACTGACAATAATCGAAATTTCAAAGACCACTTGATGATGAACCATCTCATGAAGGCATGAAAATTAACCTGGTATTATGGTGCTATCTATGACCATTTTGTTGAATGTAAATAAATTTGAGAACCTCACAATATTCTTGTTCATTGTTCCTAATCTATGTCGTCTCATGATACTCAAATATTCAGTGCTGATTCCGTTTATTGAGATTCAATTGATATTCAACAATTTCACACTTCAAATACATTCGTAATTGACTTCACATGGTGATGTTTGTTAGTAAATGACAACAAACATAAGTAACACACGACCACATGCATGATGATGTGGGTACGAACGAAATGTCTGTGTCACCTCAGTGCAAATAGACTCTTTATTTGATTATGCCTAATTCATATTTTCTCCATAGAACAAGGCTCTTCACTACTCACAGATGGACCTTCATCACGAGTTGAAAACCAAACAGAAACAGGTGAGCGTGTGTGACATTACAATTTAAATTATTCTCATTCATATTTCCTCCATATCGTCAGTGATTTATTGGTTCGACATATTCAGTTTATCTAAACCTGCCTCATGTGGATGATGTTGTTTTTTCTCGCATCTATTGGCTTTCAATTATACACTTTTCTTTTTCGTTTTCACTTTTTCTTCTCCGATTTTGTTGCACGCTTTTACTTCTGTTTTGTTCCTTTCTACCTACCGAATATAGTCTTTTCTTCTTGTTTATCTTTTTGAATCTTCATTAAAGCGAAAGGTACTGGGTTCGAGTCCCAGAGTGAACGTCAACCCTCAGATGCATGTTAACCCAGCTGACGAGTCTCAAATAGGACGAAAGGCGCATCTTGGATTCCTCTGCTAGCCACTATCCATCTTCGCTTACTATCGTATTTAATTGTTTAAAAAATATGGTTTTACGCATTTTTTTGTTTACTTTTCTTTTGCTCTTCATAAATTCACATCAACATTCTTATGACGTTCAAGTACTTCATTGATTCCGCCCATTTTAATTATTTCCTTTGTCTTCACTTAATTAATTGTTAGATTTTGAATGATTCAGTCGACAATTATACCCTACATTCCTAACTCTACATTACTTTATTCATTCACAAAGACATGGTTTTACTACTACTACTACTACTACTACGTTTTCACCAGAGTGATAAGCACGACTTTATGCTTTGGCTTATTCTGTATGAAATTTTGTTTCTCTTCTCTCGTTCATAGGGAAACTGTGCATGGATGAAAGTTGTCCAAGTAATAATAGTGACAACAGTATCAACATAATTTGTGATAATTTTGAGAAATACTCTTGTGACAAGCTCTCTCAAAATAGTCTGTATAATCGATCATTTAACGCGGATGATATCATCATGAAAATGTGTGAGTCTTATATATTGTTTCTAGATGTTATATGTGTTGAAACTTGATCTAGTCAAAATGCGTCAACTTCGATGTAGTTTGTGCTCGTTTTGATTGCAAACCGTACTTTGTATTTATACATATATGATGGTTGGTGTTTGAAACTCGTCATTTGCTAAGCACTACATACATATATATATATAATTACACAACCGGGTGAATCTAATAATATTTAAAAACAAATGCTTGTCCTGAATAATATGTCACCATAGAGAATAATGTTGAACACAACAATTAAGCAATATGATACCGAAGTTGTTTGATTTTCTGTTTTTCAACTCTTGTCTCGAACTCTTTTCAGAAAGTATTTACAAATACTTTACCCGAACATTATTGAAAAACGTTTGTTGAGATGAAATAGTACGCTTGAATGAATATAATGACTATAAAGGAAGTATTAGTATTTGGGACATCGTTTATGGATTTATTAATTTGTTGTGGTGCATTGAACCAATTTCTGCCATCGCCATTCAAATCATTACATGTTTAATAATTTATTTCAGGTTTCAAGTACAATTAACACTTCATTCACAGATGCGATCAGAATCATGCCCAATAATTCACCCAAACACGTCATCGTTTTCGTTCTATTCATTATTCTGAATATTGGTAATTTTGTTAAAATACGGTGTAGTTAGAAGTCTTTCTTAATATGACTAAAATCAGAAAGTAAAGAGCATTTGTCTACACATTCATTAAAGACAGAACACTAAAGACTATACAATGGCTGAAATGTATCAGATAATTCGACGCTGTATTCTGTTGCTAAGCAGTGTTATTCAAAACTTGGAACTTCGAAGAACTTTGTATTCTGTCTTATCTTGTTGTTCTAATCAGGCCTCGAGAATCATACTATCGCAACTGGTTTACAAAGCACGTTGATAATACAATATCTATTCGTGAAAGCGTGTGTTCAGTTACGTGAACATTCTCAATGCAATGGAAATAACTACATGGCGTTCTGTATGGAACACAAGATGTATCTCAAACATCGAACTGAGTGTTAGAAAACGATAAGTACTGGTCAACACAACAACATTAGAATAATGAATTGTTCGGGATTGTATGCCTCAATCTCAACAACTAAACTCAGCATCCTCTTTTGCATGAATGATTGTGATGACTGAATGGAGCTAGATTAATTGTTGAACCGGAAGTCTTAGGCATAATTTAATGTAGCAGTTCACTGTAAACCATCATGTAATACCATGAATCACACTCTTATCAATGTAAATGTGTAATAATTAGATAACTGTCTCTAAAACCCATCTGACATTGCCGATTTATGGATTTCTTCCACTTTTAGTACAAAGTACAGAATATGAAGATGTACCGGGTGTTAAAGTAGCCCAAACTTTCTACAATACTTGCACGATCGCTTCCTCGATGGAAAGACCGTTGATAAAGAAGAAAATCGGTGAACTGATCAAATTACTTTTCAACGGATGGCTGATGTCGTCAAATGACACGGAGCAGTTGGATGTCGAACAGAATGTTCTTAGTAGTGAAAAGTTCAGTCTGACCGCTTTACTCTTACCATCGTTATTTCAAATTGGAGAAACAGCTTTATTTTCCTTAAAGCTAGTTAAAGATATCACACAAAATGGCGTTCAATTTATTGAAGTAAGATTTCAAACAATAGATGTTCCTGATTATTTTCATGCACTATGGAGTTGCAAATACGTAGTTTAGATTACTCTGTTCAACTTAGAATGTTGTCAATCTGAAATTCACTTGAAAACCGATAAAATGACTGAACAGGTGATCACGTATGTGAGCAAACCTTGAATAGATTTTAAGCGACAAAATATTTTTTTCAGCAATATCTCATTCAATCAGTTGACGAGTTTGGGCACAATACTGTCATACACTCACGAACCTCAGGACATTGTTCCACTGATTTGTCCCAAAGTCTAAGTTGGCCTATTCTCTCACTGTTCCATAGCTCACTAAAATTTACTCATAAAGAAGGACTGTGACTTCAGTCTATTGGTTGTTTCCATTACTTTATTCACATTGTATCGCTAGACACAGTTGTAAATAGGCATACACATGATGGAGGAAATCAACACAAATCGCTGTCACCGTTTTGTTTATTTACAATCAAACCGTTGAATTCTTTATTTCTATTGACTTCGATGAGACGGCCACATGAATATGCACAGTTAAATGACGACATTTGTATGCTGATATTCAAAATCTATTCACCTTTGTTAGAAAATGAAACGTCATCTTATTATACGACTGACTTCATCTAACGTAACAAATCAGACATATTTATTCCCATCATAACATGCAAATAGAATTGCATTGCATAGCGTACATTGAATGAAATATTTTATAAATGAGGACTTGATGATTTCTAACACTATCTTGCATTTTTGAGTCATTTGATTTTCACTCTTACTAAAAGTGAATGTAACTTTATTCTTTTAGATTCATTCAGGATCGCTTGACGCATTTGACAAGGAGAAGTTAAACGTGGTACGATGAAACAAACAGATCAATTCAGTCATATTTATCGTAGATATTAGGAAAATTTTGTTCATTGGTTTGATTCTAATATTATAATGGTTGAATTCATTAGTCAATAGAAGCTAGATCGCTGTGGAAAGCCTGGAAGCACTGGACGGCCTTTTCGTCACAGAATGGGACTCCTCAGCAGTGTGCATCCTAGATCCCACCCCACGAGATTCAAACACAGGACATTTCGTTCTTTCAGGTTCTCCATGGTGGTCTAGCTTCAATTAACCCATGGATTCGACTATTATCTTAGTATAATATCCACAAAGCACTTCTCTGATTACAACTCTAATATGTGCCAGTTGTCATGGGTCTGTGAAAGCAGATTCGACAAACAGAATCCATTGCTTCGAATGTCAATAAAGTTATGTTTGGTAAAATGCGTTATCTTCATTGAACAAAGGTCACGAACCGAACATTGTCAGTCAAAATTATACTCTGATCCGGTTGATGCCAAGTGTTATTCATGATGTTAACATCTGTCTGTAATTGTGCTCTTTCACTTATAATCTTGGTAGATATCCGAGTTTCTTCTAGTACAATCGAGCACGCTGTTGGATACTCTCTCGTAATCAGTGATGAATTTACTGAACCCTTGTGCTACCACCTATATAACTCTCCAATGATGTGCCAGTTTCTTTCTTTGTCCTGACGTCTTCCATAAACTTTATTGCCCTGCTTTTAGTGATAATATGTCTGATCTGACTTCACGTCGGTTTGATAGGTGGGACAGTCATAGTTTGTATGTGAACCTATGGAAGAGAACGCTACCACGTGTACCATCGTTTTCGAAAACAAATGCAAACAACAATTAATTGCCATTATTGTTCCCTCCCACTGGTTCATGCCACGCTATGAAGCATCCACACGTTTTGTTCTTCATCACGCACATAGTGTTTATTCTTCAAATCAGGAAGGCTATGTATCGAGCTGGACATGTTCATAGTATGTACTGAACAATCCTTCTAATCTAATCTACATTATCCTTGTTACCATCATAACGAGACGAGACAGTCTAATCCATCTTACTTTCATCGATGGAAGCGTTGTACCTAGAGTCATTCGTTAAATGACCTTCGTTTTTATTCGAACGAGTAACTTTGTGATTCATTATTTTTAATAGGAACCACAGTCAAGTCAAGAGGACAGCGAAGTGAAAGAACTAATATTCAAATATTTAGAAAATGTAGGAGCACTAAAATCTAATGAAAATATGATGGACGGTGTTTTCGAATTGTATTCGGAATTAAAAAACGTGAGTCAACCGAGAAAGATCTGTTGATGTTTATTGACAGTTGTATTATAAAACAATTTTTATGGATTACAGTACCTAATAGGAGGTGAACTAAGCCGTTGTTCAGAAGAACATATATTCAGTCGGTGGAGAAGAGCGGTATTTGGCCAATACAATATAGGCTATTATCAGTAATCATCATATAGAACTAATTATACAGAACTTCTGTGAACAAATGAACACTCCATTTCTTACTTTACAACGACAAATTTAGTTATGTTGCTTGCTGAGTATAAAACAGCATATAATTCGGTTATTAGAAAGATAACTATGAAACTGTTACACTGTATTCACAAACGATTATAAATTTCAGAAAACCAGTTAGGGTAAACCAATACTAGTAATGTTGAAAGATTGAGGTTGTTTGAGAAATCGAAAATACTGATCTCAACTGTATAAAGTAGATTGCAGGATCAGATGAATTGAATTAAATGGAATTTTGACTACAGGTACAAACTAACGACCTCCGAATATCTGTGTTTATCTAGTTTTGAAATCGTTGTCAATTCTTGACCATGCCGTCTGAATTTCTTCGAATATCATGCACAAAATAACTGGTTTTCTTAATCATATGGACATATTGTTTTAGGCACAGAAGACAACCGTGTATAGTGAACCATTGAGAATCACTCATGATCTTCTGACAACAAACTGTCCAATTGTAAGTTGAAATAGGATCATTTTTGTAGTAGTTTGATAACTCACTGACATGAGGAATCATGTGAAGAATTCAATGTTCTTCACTCCAGTTTGCAAGTGTGTGAATATAAAGATGATACGATGTTTTCATGTGTTAGAGACAAGGATGGATTGAAGGTCTGATTGAACTAAGATGTTTGTGTTTAATACTAACATTGAGTAAAATATTCTATGAAACGTAAGTTCAACTGCATGAGATTTGTGGTTGTGTCCACGTATTGAACGAGGTGAAACACAATGAAACATCGGGAGAACTAAGGATAAAATGCTTACTCCAATTTTGGTGCATGGGAGCAGTTAATTTACGCTTTTCATGAACAGATATGTAACTGAAAATCGAGAGAACAAACGATGAAGATTACTTCGTGGAGCAATTGAAATATTTTCGTGAAAGTCGTTGAGTGTTATGCTGGTAGTGATTGGAGAACTAGTGGGGATAACCATGCCATTGTTTTATGCCACATTCTTTAACAAATTGTGAAAACCATACATTAAATGCTTCATTTGCAAATCTTCTATCAATTGTACCTTACATCCTTCATGTTTCTTCCATTTCTCAATTAATTTATGCTTCCCTTCCTGTTTTGGCAAGTGCAATCTTCTCAACCTTCTTTTGACAGACATCCAACTTCTGATTGGTGCTATAAACTACTTAGGTCGATAGACAAAATTAGCATACACCACAGTGTGCAGTTCACCTAAGTGACTGCGTCAGATAACAGGATAACAGTGGAACATTGTGTCAATTTGTGAAAATATTGTTGTCAAACATAACTCATCTCTTTGAATTTGTAAACTAATTTCAAATTATTTATTTTGACCAGATCAATTGGGATGTTTTATTTAGAAATGTTTTCGGAAATGAATCGTATAACCAATTGGAATTTACTATCCAATCAGAAGAAGCTTGGCTGAGGACTTGCGATATTCTCCGTTCAAAAGTAACCATAGACGAAGAAAGAAAGTAATTTTCTCGAAATCGAGTTTTATTCTTTCAGAAACAGGTTGCTTTCTCAAATACCATGTTGTCACATCTTATCTGCATTCCGTTGTTCTCATTCATGCACTCGATGTTCAGAGTAATTTGATAGAAAATGTACATAACGTATGACAATCTGAGAGACTAATTAAAGGAAATACAGTGTGATGTAAATATTCCTAATAATAGAATGATTCACTTTCAGTAATTACTTAAATCAAGAATGTAACCGGTGAAAACTCGAGTCTCTTTATACACGTTAGGCGTAAAACGGAACAACAATAATACTTTTCATCAGAAAACAGGATGACCGTTTGACATGTCTTTCATTACACGCCAATCATTTTGTCCACATTCTATCTCCATGTGAATTAAAGTTGTGCGATTATCCACAAAATCCTCTCAATCTATAATCACAGTTTGTTTCATAGCATTCAGGATGAATGAAACATGTTGAAAATAATAAGATTGATATATAAGTTGGTTAAAATCACTTTGATCACTGTATATATAGAGAGAGTATACAAATGAATAATATATTAAATGATTTCCCATCAAAGTGATAAGACGAAGATTACGGACAAGAAAATATAAGAAGAGTGTTCATTGTGTATGTTTCATACTACGTCTGTCTCATAAACTGTGATGTTGAGAATTGTCGACATGGACGTTGTGGATCGATAACTACTGTCGATTCTAAATTAAATTCTATTTGCATATGACTGAAGTACGCGGTTTTTGTAATTTTTCTTATAGAAACATACACAATATGGTAGTGATAGATTTCTTGTACAAAATGCGGAACTACTTACAGCAATATTTTGAAGACTTTTATCCTACAAATAATGGTGAGTACTATAGCCAGTTAAATAAACATAAGTATATAGTTTGACTATTTAAAGGCTGACTGCTTTATCTCCAAATAAAGTTGTAAAGTAGATAGAAGACAAATAAACACGATGGAACATATTTCAGATAATTGATACATCCAGTATCATATATGTCGGACTAATTTGAATGCACGTCGGAATATAAATCTTGACAAAGTAGTTGGGAGAAGCAGTTAGGCTGCTCGTTAACTAATTTGCGAATAAATTGACATAATGTATTCACAGTTTATGCAAGGTGAAATACTTAAGGCACGAAGTCGTGTAATTCAGTCAGATTGTTCCTCACTTTTCATGTCTGTTAGGTTTTTCTGTATCAATTGAATGATAAAATGAAGTTCAACTGAAGGTTATAACGTTGTTTATCATTTTGAACAGTATGAACAATGAAAAATGTACAAATAGAGTAGAGGAAGTATGAACAATATGATCCATATGATCTGAGGATAAGATGAGTGGTGGTACTTGTTGAATTTACATTTAATTATGATTAAAAGTACTGAAAGTTGTCTGTGTATAACTGGAAGTATATAATTAACAACATGTTGATGTCTTTCTACCAAAAATAATTAAGATAAAAAACCACCAACATGCTTCGAGGAAACGAAGGAGAATTTCTGGTGGACAATAAACAAAGAACACAAATATTCTAGTATAAGTAAGACTACAAAAGATGAAGTGAGTTTCGAATTCTATAATTGATCATATATCTATGGTTCATATTAGCAAATATCATCAGTCATTACAGTGATATCCATCGTGTTATCCACTCAGCCACTGAGTCCTGAGATGCAGGTACATCCAGCTGACGAGTCCCAAATAGGACGAAACACGCGTTCTGGATTACACTGCTAGCCACTATCAATGTAAGGCGGAGTTTGAAAATTTTATTTTCTCCTTTAACATATACATATCTGATTGGATGCTTTGACAAAATTCGTGTAAATATGTACCTGGAGCAATTGTGAAATGTGCTGACTATGGGAGGGAAAGTGAATCACTTGTCTCACTATTTATTATTATTACAACTACTTGATAATTATGTAATAAAATACAAACAATCACTGAAAACGCGCATCTTTTATTTAGTCATCACTTTGATCGTTATATCTGTTTATATTGAATAGGTGAATCAAATGTTCAACGAAATGAAGCACAAATTGACTGAATTATTGTCACAAAGGTCATGGAGCAGTGAAGATGACAAGCAAAAAGCTATTTCAACGGTTTGTCTTGTTTTGATAGATAGTGTGAATATTAACCGATTGCATTATTCAGGTTTCCAACATCAGTGTATTGATGATCGATTCAGCATTTCTCGATCAGGAGATTAAAGAACGAGATATAATACTCGAAGTACGTTCCTTAAGTGTAACACCAAATATTTTATTATTTCTTAACTTGATGATCAATGACTCAGCCAAATAGTGGATTCTCTGTATGTGATTGAAAAAATATTAGTTTTCCTATAAATCTGTTCATCATTCAACTCATGTAATTGTTGTCAACTTATCAATAGAACAGCGTAAATATATATATGGTTATGTATCACCATATTTTGAAGTGGTGAGCTTATCGAGCTAGATGGTTTACTCGCAAAGCTGTATCTACTCATTCTTAGTAGCTTCCTCGCTGCCCACTCCATGTGAACGTTTCAGTGTTTCTCTTCAAGGTTCTTATTGCCAATGTTAGTGTTTTACGTCCTACATCTATTTCACTTTAAAACAGCCTATTACGTTCGTCATCCGTAGTCCTACATTGTCGACACAAAGGGATTTTGATGTGTAGGATGTATCGCAAATAAGCTTGATTTCCATGCAAATAGTAAGGCAGATCAAAGCATAGAATATTGATCGAATAGCAGGGCATATAAATGAGTCATCGCACATGCATATCAAACTTTGTGGAACCGAAACTGAAGTATCTAGCTTCGATGTGTTAGAATCATTGGGAAAACTATCACAGACTATGATAAAGGTCTACGAGTAAACCGATAAATCACCATAATTACTTGTACTTGAGTGGAGTTTATGGAAGCGATATCAATATGTAAAGACAAAGCTTCATTTTAAACTGTGTGGTAGTTGAGATGTTTGCTCTGCTTATTGAGACACTAATCGAGTTCTCGGCTTCGCGTATACATTTTTTATGACAAGTCTAGGAATAATTAGCTCCACATGTGAGAAAATAATCAAGGAAAAGGATACGCTTACATTATAAACTCAAAATAGATTGATAGATTTGAGACATTTAATGGGAGGAAAATGAAGAGAGTGGATGGAACGTCATGCGTTCTCACACATTGTTCTTCGGAAGTGTGATCATTCAGAGGAATTATTCCAATGCATCATGAGTGACATTAACAATTCTCATTATTTCAGTACTACTATAAATGTAGTTGTTGAACAATAGAAATGTAGGTCTACCATTAATCTATTCGACTTAATATACCTCAGATCTCTATATAGATCACTATTCAGAGGATTGAATTGATTATAGTTAACACAATTGTTTGTACTGCTTTTATACTATGTTGTGGATTATTGGTAACAATAACTTCTGCATCCGAGGAAATGAAAGCTGTTGAGTTGAAACATATTTACGATAACAATTTCTTTCATTTGACAAATCGGAAACTGTCAAAATAGTTAAAAAATAATTCATTTCGTTTCTCCTTCAGAATGAACTTTCTGAGAATAACTACTTTATAAATGCCTACTACTCTCAGAAGGCTCGAACTAAAACATCTTTATTCGGAATATCAAGGACACAGAGCTTGTGAGTTGTACTTTGATACTATGTATCATAATTACTACACACTTTCATGCAAAATAAACCCTATGTTTATAGGATAAGTACAATTTATGACATCGCAATTCACAACGAGTTATGTTTCAACTAGTGTTTTAATGAATCATGGTAAAATGTGTGATCAATCAATTGTGATTACAGCTCAGTCCTACAGGAGGTCGGTCACGGCCCGAATAGCTCAATGGTAACGTTTCCTGACTGTGAAGCTGAGTGACACGGGATCGAATCCGCCAAGGAGCATCAGTTCCCTTAAGATTACAGGTACACCTTGCTGACGAGTGCCAAGTAGCACGAAACCCGGGTACAGGGTTTCCTGTTGACCACCTCGAACCACCATCTTACCTCAATATATATAGTGCACGCAGTGTCGAGCCACCTAGACTGGTGGCCACATTGCAACTTGATCGATAGCATTCGATCAGCACTAAGAAAGATTTGACACGCATGAGATTGATCAACACTCAGTGATCAATCAATTGTGATAATTCACATCATTTGACAGTCAATATTCAAATCCCCTTTCATTTTAAAAAATTGTTATGACAGTAGAAGAAAACGAAACGTGTTTGTCGAGGTCAAAACATCAGACGGTACAATTTACCTGGATCTAATATAATCACACAATGCAAATATAGATATAATCAATCATAGTGTAATCACATTTAATCAGTGATCAAATATGATCACAGATTCATTTTACTGATATTATTAGATGGGATTCAATGTGTAGTTATTCTGATTAATAAATTGATAAATTATCAATTATCAGAAGGGATTTTGTGGAGATTAATTAATGTAATCATATGCTCACTAGTGACTGATTTCGAGAAGTACATTCAGGAGTTCTAGTGAGAAGCAGTGACCAGTGGAGTTCAAACCACGTCTGTCGTGAGATATCAATTCACTGTATACAATTGGTGTACGGTTGCTCAAACTTTGTGGATCAGTTGAAGTTAGACATTAACACCGTTGGATACCGGCCGGCTCAGTGGTCTATCGGTTTAAGGCTATGGCTGGAGCCCGGTAGATCCTGGGTTCGAATCTCGCGAGTGCGGAATCGTGGATGCGCAATGCTGAGGAGTCCCATAATAAAATGAAACGGCCGTCCAGTGCTGGCCGATTTTCCATGATGGTCTAGCTTCAATTGACTCACGTTTTCATCTATGATAAATTATCGTTTAATACATACTTCAATTGAATTTATTAATGTACACTTAACTTGCAAAATAAGCACGTCAACATGACTGAAACAAAGGGCACTACGTTTTATTCTATTCATCAGAGTTACTGTAGACAATGATGTGACATCCACGCAACATCTTATAGGTTTGACTGTCATTTCATGACATATCACCAATTTTAGGACAAGTTCTATTACTATAACAGTGCTAATAACGATCTATAACATAATACTACATCTATTCTTCCCTTTTGTGTTGCACTTTGAATGCATCTATCATTAGGAGAACAGTTGGTCTCCAATAGTTGCATTGCAAGAAACTTACACGATTTGAGTCTCCTAAGTTCGGAAAATTTATTTAAATTTCGTTCTATGAAACAAGATATTCGAAATGTCATCAGTAAATAGACAAACATCATATTACTTTAATGGCAGGTCTACTCATTCAGTCATTTCTAATGATTTAAAAATGCATTAATCATTCTGAGTAAATAAATGATCGTTGTATATTTACAAATATTTAGCGATCACTTGCAGTTGATTTATCCTGTCATTGCCGTTCAAAGTCGCAAGATTGTTATACTTTCTGGGATATTACATTCACCGTTTTGGAGTGAATCACATTCAATGTCGGAAAAGTACGGAATTTTCGGTTGGCTTCTTGGTTCTCAGATTATATCTGAAGGTAGGTTTTAAGATATCTCCCCATATCTTTGAATCAAAATGGTATCACAATCGGATATAGAAATCGGTCACGAACAATTGAGAAATGTTTGTGTATGTGAGTTGTTTCTGTGAACCATTGAGATCTGAGTAAACTGAGACCAATGGTGCTAATCGTAGATATTGTGGCGCATTATAAATACTGACGGTATTGTGGGCTTTCTAGTTAAATCATCCGGATGTAAACAGTATAAATATAGATGTGCTTCTCACATGTATTCTGGAACAATTCAGAGGATAGTGGTTCATTTAAGTTGGTCAGTCGAATTTATGCAGTATTGAGAATGCATAGACGTTATTTTAAATCTTACAATCAAATGAGACGGCATCTGATTTCTGTGAAAATGAGAAGCGTGAGTCAAATGAAACTAGACCACCATGGAAAACCTTAACGAATAGACCACTGATCCGGTCGGCATCCAACGGTGTTAATCTCTAACTTCAACGGATCCGCGAAGTTGAGCAACCGTTCACCAATTGTCTTCAGTGAGTTCCTATCTCACAACACACGTGGTTTGAACTCCACTAGTTTGATCAGTTGAAGTTAGACATTAACACCGTTGGATTCCGGTCGGCTCAGTGGCTCTGGATCGAGACTGTTATGTCATGGGTTCGGATCTCGCGAGTGCGGAATCGTGGATGCGCAATCCTGAGGAGTCCCATAATGGAACGAAACGTCCGTCCAGTGCTTCCCGGCTTTCCATGATGGTCTAGCTCCAATTGACTCACGCTTTCAACTAGTAAGACATTGATAAAGAAATTTACTATCGACGGGTATGAATATACTATTTTTTGTCATCAAATGTTAACTTGTTGAGAGTAACGGTTTTCACTGACATTTTGTCCTGTTAAATAGTAATATATGGAAAGCTATTCATAATTGACACCAATACACTAAAATCAATTTTAAGCTCTACAGTAGTCATCCCATTTAAAATTCAAGTTATATTGATTTTTGGAAACCCAATGCGATCAACGTTAATTTTCATTACAGTTTTAAATGGTGAGGAGTTACAAAGTCAAACGGAATATCCACCACAGTGTCAACCAACTGCTTCTACACCGTTTGGAAGTCAATTGTGTTGTTTATCAGAACAAATCAACTCTGAAATACCTCAGAATGAAGTAAGAAAATTCTAAACGTACTTTTAGTTCAAGAAGTTTTGAATCTTCACATGGTGTTCAGCATTTTAATTTCGGAATTGATTATTGTGGTATACATGAAAGATGTTATTTATTCAAATTTTAAAGAATGCCATGGTAATAAAATACAGGGGTATATTACATTCATCATATGTACATAGTTTCCGAATAATATACCAATCAAAAAGTACGAAACGTGTGTCTTGGATTCCACTGCTAGCCACTATCCATCTTCGCTTACCATGCTTGTGAATTTAGGCTATATCGAGGCAATACGTACAATATGCACATATGACAATTAGAGACTGACCAGTTGAAGTCCTAAACATCAATGGGAAGATTCAAACAAACAATACTAAGTAAATTTCAACTTCACCCCCATTGCACAAACAAGTGGCTATCAGGACTCAGTAGATGAGTGGATAACGCGATGGCGTTTGAAGCGATAGGTACTGTATTCGAGTCCTAGAGTGAACATCAACTATGAGATGCAGGTACATCCAGTGATGTTATTCACTCAAATTTCAGAAAATACTTTGATGATAAAATGCAGGGGCAAACGCCTTACGAAGCGAGTTTTCTTCATAATTGGAAGTCATGAGGACACAGTACAGTTTCATATTGTTGTTTCAGTATTTAGTGAGGTAGTGATCTGACAAATAGTTGTCACATACTCAGCTAAGATATTCAATATCTTCTCTAAAATGAAGCTTAGAATGGTGATGGTAATTAAATGAAACCTTGTGATCGTACTAAAACTCATCAATCTCATCAATAAGCATGTTGTATTTTGAATGCACATGCAGGCACCCAAAGCTTCAACATTCATGAGTGTTATTTCCCCTCAATTGTTAGATCTCGCTTGTCAGAGATATTATATAAATTGAACTTGAAAATTTAATATGTATATCATAGACGTTGTATAAATTTTATGTCATCTCCACCATTTTCATACCAACTAGATAGTTGAACAACTGTCAGCTGGTATATCTGGTCTCATGCTGTCGTTCGAAGTAAGTGAATTTAAATTATAAAATATTCATCTTATTCCTCAATCACTAATATTCAATATTGACACATGCATTCTGTATACGCTTCCTAGATCCGGATTAAACAAGCTGATTGTTTGAATTTGAATTTCACTGAATCATTTTCGGATGGGATATACAGTTGACCACTCTTGTATTTTACATTGAGCTGATGAACAAATCAACGTGATTTTGGTGGACCCTCTGCTAGTGATTGAGCTATTGTGTAACACAACATAATAATGATACAATAATGATGTTTGGTAGAGCAGAACATGAAATTTTTGACTTTCCGTGATTAATTTTAGGTTGTTCAGTGCTGCTAAGCATTGAAGTGTCTCTACAGAGCAATTTGTAGATTGTGAAGACAGGATCTATCTTAGACGCACTTGGGCAAGACGAAGCTGTCTGATGTTATGAAAATGCAGGTAAAGCTGTCGGTCATAGGGATGCTACTGAGTGGCAGCGTGAGAGTGATGCTTGATGGAATGATTCATATGAAGAAGAAAGAATCTCGGGATGTGATTGATACGAATGAGCATGAAAAGTAATGTTGGATTGTTTGAGTTCAGAGGTGTTGGAAATTAGTGAGATCGGGAGCGAAACTTATTTGAACGCTGCAATATCGATTTTGTTGTTTGAAAGGCGTTTGTGGTTGTCGGATTGACCAGTGGTTGTTCGCTGTTCACGAGAATACGAGTTAGTGATAAAATGCCAGACGTGACAATATCGTCAATAGACAGAAGAAATGTGAACGAACTAGACCTTCAACGTTGAGATCCGGAAAATGAGAAGCACGAGGGTGGCAGAACACTTGGAAACCAAACCGAAAGAAGGTTCTAGGTGCGAGGGACATGGAACGATTCAAATGGATGACCAAAAATTATGTATAATTACTAACTAATCACTGGAAGATTTCTCACCAACATTGGTCTGCCGCTGACTTGTTCAACAGCGGGATAATTTCCAATATGTACTTTTAGTCCGACTACCGTTGAAACTTCACATGATATTTGGCACTTTAATTTCGGAATTGCTTAAAACGTCCGACAGGTGCAGAAAATCAGATATGTGAGTAGTTGTAAATCAGGTAGTGATCTGACAATTAGTTGTCACATACTGAGTTGAGATATTAAATATCTTCTCTAAAATGAAGCCAGAATGAAGATGGTAATTAAATGAAATCTTGTGACCGTACCAAAACTATAGACAACTCATCAAACTCATTATAAGGCATGTTGTATTTCAATGCGCATACAGGCATACAAGGCTTCAAAATACCTTCAGTGTTTTTCCACCTAATCGTTAGATCTCGCTTGTCAGAGATATTATATAAGTTGATCTCGAAAGAGTTATATGTACGTCACACACGTTACATAATGCTCTCTCATCAACATTTATCCGCCTTATATGTTGTTCAACCGCGAGATACTTTCCTGTACATAATATTCTTTCTTGTTAAATTACTCACATTTATTGCAGGCATACAAGAAAAGGTTAACTGGAAATCTCGATAGCCTAAATGAAAAGAAGATGTTCTTCTCAGCATTTGCGAAAGTAAGTTATGCACACCATTCAAAGTTCATTTGAATGAAAACTCGGTTTACAATGATTCATGATAAACGTGGTGCGCTGTAGTCATTATTATACAGAATATGAGCACATTTACATTTCAACCATTTCGTGAGTAGATATGTTATGCACGAAAGGAGCTAACTATGGAAATAACATTTAGTAAACGAAGTGTAGCAGTTGAAAACAAACTGAGAAAGTTCAATTTAGCAATAAGTTCTTGTTTCACCGAAATTATCTCCACGTTCTTCAATCGCAAATACAAACCTGTTTTGCAAAATGATAATCAACAATATGTCTGTTAATTACATTCCAATTAACAACGATTATAATAATAGGTTTGTTGGACATTGCAACGAATATATTATATTTTCAAAGACTCACAAGTCTTATTTCCATTAGGAATCTTCAGTGGTGGTTGAGCATTCTTGAATAGCGATAAATAGCCGTGAGAGAAAGATTGAGTGACGTGATATGATGGAATGTTGAAGTTGAGTTGGATTGCTATCAGAAAGGGCGTTGAAACAGAGATAACTTGATTTTAGGCTTTAAAGTGAGTGATGGTGAAAATAGGGGTTTAGTGACAGTTTGCCATGTTTATGAAGTCCACCATAATAACAACCATTACTTTCATTATTAGTGAGAATCGTATTGTAGATTAATAGTTTGAGAATTAAATTTCTTTGTGCTATTGTACAGTTACGAAGGTTATTGTTCCGAAAATGGAACCACTTTCTTGATCAACCATTTGTTTTCGAATCACATTAAAATATTGTATGTATGAGTTGGTGTTAGTTGATACGTTGTGGTGGGTGTGAATATCATAACGAATAGAAATTGATCCCTCAAATATTCACACCCAATATCCGAGGCTCAAATCAAACGTGCAAACGTGATTTTCAAGAAATCAGTGAAAAAAGGCACAATTCGCTCACTCTGTTTTATTTTTATAAAACAGTTTACAAGCAATAATAAATTATCACTGCTTTGGTCAACTGTAGTTCCTCCACTTCAGCAATAACCTCACTGTTGATTTCAGTGTCTTATCCATCAGTCATAAAGAATATGTTCGTTCATAGGCAGACACTATCCAATATCTAATGATACTATAAAAGAATGACAATGATTCACTGAGATACAACAAACATGTCATATCTCTCAGAACGGAAAATGAATATGATGGTTTTTGTGTAGGCCAATTTATTTGAGTGAGTAATAAATAACACGGTGTTTCAGTATGTCTCCGTTTCTTAAGCCGTTTATCTTACGATGTAAGAAAACATAGATCAAAGCTTCGTTTCAGTTTTCTCGATAATCTTTCCTGTGTCATGATTTGGTCAAATGATCGTAAGTTATCTTCATTGAATTTTAACTACAATGCACTAATACACTTTTCCTTATTCTCTTCATTTTCGCCTATCCCTAATAACTGTAGATAGTGTGCAGCGGCTTATCATTATATACTATTCAGTCCGGTTCAAGGAAGCATATAAAAGCCTACGGATTCATGTAATTCATTTGTATTTTGATAACTTCATTCTAAAATATGACCATAATATGTGTTTAAAACATTAGCTGTCACTTGCTGGCTGTCAAATCTATCATGAAATGTTTGATTTTCACTCAGTTATATAATACAGGCAAGGCTAATACTACAAACAACATCTTACATTAACCTTAGTCCCAGCAGTGCAAATATGCTTGTAAGAGTCGTCTAATGCACATGTTTAGCTTACAATCGTTGACATCAAGTGTATTTCAACAAACAGTGTCAACATCAGTATAGTGTATTCATGAATGAATTATCACCATAACATACTAACATTTTCCATTATTAGTTCCATATATTTCATTCTAATTTTCTCCGTTTTCAGTGTGAACGATGTTTTGAAACACAGTCAAGGATTTTCAGAAGCGTACCAATGTAAAATTGGCTCGATAATGAATCCTGTTCGCAAATGTATTCTTTAGAAGAAAACATTGATGGTGTGTGTGCAGAAATATTTATTTGTCTATTTAATCGACTCCGTAATTAAAACATTTTTGTAATGTCTCACTCCAATTCTTCAAATAATAAACATTTTGTTGCTGAAAGTAAAGTAGACTATTTGATTGTCACATTCGGGTGAATCGATTCTGACAAACCAACTAACGGGATTAATATGCTTCTAAACCAGTTGAAAAATTACTCCCAAATATTGTTTCTACAATATCTGGATAAGTGTGCGGATCAGGTAATTCAGTTGTATGTTGAAATCTCGGACGACTACATTTCTGATATACATTTCAAGAAAAGTGACACGGAATTCGGGAAATTCACCAACCCTGTGATTTGGGAGAAGAATTGTCACTTTAAGAAAACAAAACGAACTTTACATACTTCTAGAAATCCTGGAACTGTCATGTTAGACTACTGTGATAATAAATTTGCTTTGTCTAACAATAGTGTTAGTGTTATATTCAAGCTATTCGGGCAATTCGTTGGACCAAGTTATCACATTTTATCGGCGGCAGCTGTGCGTTAGAAAAAGCCCAATCATACAGACTGATCTCACGCTTATTGCCTCTCTCATTAAAGTTCAACCTTAACTGTTACATATAACCGCAACCAAATATGTTCGAAATGAGAGTCATAGTGCACGTGTTCAAAGACGTTCAGTGTAAAACCGGCTCCTTACAAGAGCATAATTGAAAGAAACCAACAAACGAACTTATTGATTTTTCACTATTTTGTCTTCTATCTCCTCGTTGAGATATATTTCACACAATTTGTGTATTCGCTTCCATTACTTACTGACTTTCATGACTCCATAAGAATGACTTTCGGGTATATATTTGAAACAGTTCCTTAAATGTCAAGTAGATATTATCTAAACACACAATACTTACTGTTATAAAGTGTTGTGATCTTTCAGTCGCTATGCAATTCAAAATCACAACGCGAGAATACATGTGAGAGTGAGAGCAAATGAAGGCAAGACACATATTTGCTTCCAATGATTTTACTTTAATTGATATTTAAATCAGCATTTAGACTGGTGCTGATTGTAGAATTTCATAATTCACAACATAGATAATGCTTAGTTAGACAACCATCGAAAACTTTGAGAGGAATGAAAATTGGTTCGTCTAGACATGGGATTTCAGATCTGTGCGAATTCATGAATACCATCATTTCAGGTCCCTTGAATGCAAATAATTGTTTTGAATAAAATTATGTCCGAACCATCAGAGTGAAGTGATACATCAAGTTTCTTTAAGAGTGACGACACGGTTGTCCACTCCTAACATTATCCACATAGCATAGCTATGCCCCATGCTCTGCAACTCCTGTTGCACCAGGTAATAGTGGGATTGGACTTATTCCACACATGTTGCTGGATGACTCTATGTCTAACTTAATAATGAGTTCTAACTCACGAGCAGATGGTATCGATCTTATTAAGAGCGAATTAGCCGCTGTCTATAAGCAATTAAGTGATATGCGTTCTAAAGTGGAGTCACGTGCGGTCTCTTTATTAAAGCATGACGATCTTAAACAAGAACTAAAGACACTGTCACCCCTTCGACTGCTGTTGTCAAAGTATATAGTTACTTCTGAACTCGAAGGCAGGATCAAAGTAGAATCCGTTATTGACTTGATAGCTAGTAAAGTCACCAAGCGAATAATCTCTCGAAATAATGTGATTATATATAATATACCTGACAAGTTGCCATTAATACTGTAAGAAACTCGATACTAAAGGCAGCTAATCTCCAGGACAATCCATGCCAATGTATCCGACTTAACAAAAAGCATCAAAAATACTCGTGCCCTATCCTGTTTAGATTTGATTCCCATTTATTAGCGGAACGTTTGAAAGAATCTGAACAGCTAGTCTGTGAGCATACGAAGTTTAAAAACGCTCGTATAGTCTCAGACAAAACCACTAATCAAAGACTAACACAAAAGCGTACCATGAACGAAGATAACATTGTTGAGGTCACAACAAATGTGATCACGCCAGCAGCTGAACCCACTGGTGCAGCTAATCTATCTCCAGTTAGTCAGTGTACTGATATACCCATGCAGTGTGCTAGTTTTCCTCTCATACCCCTAGTGGCCCTAGATAACCAGGACATATCTGATGTAGACTCTAATGTCATTCTTTCCAGTGTAATATCGGAAGCCAATCGTCAAACACCTAATTCTATTGTGAAGGTTCATAAAAACACTGCTAAACCTAAAAAGAATATACCAATTAAGAAGAAAGTAAATAAAACAAACCTGGTCCTAGACCGAATACCAAAAATATTTCAACGGCCTTATCCAACAAAAGTATAATTTCTGAAACCATGCTTAACCCTACTCATCGTAAGGGAGGTTATAATGACACATTTCGTTCAAACGTTACACGAGATGGCCACTACAACCATCATGTAAGCAGGCTTACTATTAGACAGACGGCAATGAACCAACGTGCCGCATGGTTTCCCTCAAATGTTATAAATAATAAACCTGCAAGATGTAACTCATCATCACTCTTGCAGTGGAGAAGATGGTATACTAGGTTATGCACCATCAACGCAACCCCAACATGCACGCACCTGTCTTAATTGTCCACCAAAACAAGTACAACAAATTATTCAACCTTACCAAAATAAGGATTTTTTTCCGCCTCCAGAGATCCCTTGTTCCACTAGCACTACAATTCGCTCATGCTATAGCCCATGCGATCCTGAAAACACATTAAACCATAGTCCAGGCATAGCTAGAACTCATACCTTCGATAAAGATGCTCTCGGTTTTTTACACTACACACTCCCTTTTTAAACTTATTACTTATTAACGCACTTTCACTTCTGAGCAAAATCTCAGCATTGAGAACCTTAGCCTTTCTAGCCAAGTCTTCTTTTATACTTATCACTGAAACGTGGTATTATCCAGCAGTGGCCGATTCCGAATTGAATATCCAAAACTATCGACTCTATCGTTGTGACAGAGAAACTAAGCGAGGAGGCGGTTGTCTTATATTTGCTTTGGATACCTTAACAACTAACAAAGTTGAAGATAGTATCTTGAATAGTTTACCAGAATCGATCTGAATATCAGTCAATACCCTAAATCACAGTCTACTCCTAGGTTGTATATATAGAGCTCCCGATAGTACTGATAATTTGAATGATTGTATTATCAATGCATTTATACACGCATCTACTCTAAACTTCAGTGCTAAGATTATCACTGGCGATTCCAATTATCCTGGGATTAACTGGAGTACCGGTAGTTGTCAGTCTAGCAATGATGAATTTTTATCAACCCTTAATCTGTACTGCTGGTAACAGTGGGTTCGTACCCCAACAAGGGGTGATAATACACTTGATCTAATATTTAGTAGAGATATCATTCCCCTATCTGTACAAGTATACAACGAGTTTGAAAGCAGTGATCATAGGATGGTAGCTTGTGCTCTCCCCATCCATCCCTCCTACAACCGACCAATTCAAAGAACTTGCGATTATAGAGACTATAAGCATGCAGACTGGGACCTCTTGCGCTCACTGATCAAACTCTCAGACTGGGATAAATTCTTCTCATGTAATAGTCTGACAGATGCCATCAATATATTCTATTTCATTGTTAACTCTTGTCTAGACTCCTGTGCTCCAATTAAGACATACAGGATTAGTAAACATTACGAATTATATATGCCAGCTAAATATCGTAATAAACTAAAACGACTAAAGAAAGGTTATTTTAAATCTAACGACTTCACGGCAGTCACACAAATAACAATAATTTTTAACCAAATTAAAGAGAAACATAGGTTAAAAGCCATTAATGAAGAGCTATTAGCACTAAGTACTAGCTCAAAAGTGCAAAACCTAATCCACCTTTACAATAAACGTGCTAAATCAACTCAAAATGTTAATATACCATGCATCCTGCATAATAATAGTTTTATATATGACCCAAAAACTATAGCAGACCTTTTCAGTGGTAAAGAATCCATAAATGGCTCTGTTTCTAGAGTTATATGCATGACTGGTAACTCAATTAAATTTAACTCCTTCACATGTCTGAAAATTAGTAAGGTTATAAGTAACCTCAAGGTTTCGAAAGGTCACGGAGCAGACGGGATTTCATCATTTCTCTACAAATATGGTGGTCCAAATATTCCACTTCTCCTTAATCTGTTTACTCTCTCTATGGAATCAGGCTCTTATCCTGACCGTTGGAAAACCGCGTGCATCATACCACGATGCAAATCCGGAGATAAGACTGACATGAACAACTATCGGCCAATAAATAATACTCCAGTTATCTCTAGGATTATGGAAAAAATTATTAGTGACGAACTATCCAACTATTTATTGACTGAACAACTTATTGATGATTCGCAACATGGTTATCATAAAAATCGATCTTGTATGACATGTGATTTTGACTTCTTTAATTTAGTCTATTCTCTTCGTAGCCAAGGATATCTAGTATTAGTGCTATACATGGACATTTCTAAGGCCTTCGACATGGTCAACCACTAACTTCTCATAAGTAAACTCGCATCTTATGGGGTCTAAAATCCGTTACTAGCCTGGTTTGATTCCTTCCTCAGGAATCGACATCAAATAGTTAAAATGAACTCTTCATTGTCGAATGCCGTCCCTGTTAGAAGTGGGGTAATTCAGGGTAGTGTCTTAGGTCCTTTGCTCTTTTTAGTTTTCATTAATGATATTTGTGAGTGTTTTAGTGTGGGTAGGTCCCTTTTGTTTGCAGACGATCTTAAGGTGGTGTACTCATTTTCTCCACATGAGCTGAGCAATATTCAAAATTGTATCAGCTTGGAGCTAAACAATGTAGCACAGTGGTGCTCGAAATGGCAACTGGAGCTCAATACAGCTAAATGTGGTTGGTTATGCTTCGGTGATACATCACTCAACCTCGATCTTACCATAAATGGTGAAATGTTATCTAGGTTACACACAGTAGT